ATGGTCGGTCGAGTCAAGGTTCTATAGGAAGATGCCCTGTCAACGAGGGCGAACCATAACATTGGTTGATCCGCACCTTGCCATCCCAGCACATAGGGAAGTTCTGATTGGGTGTCAGGATAAGGATAGGATCAAAATGTTAGAAGGGACATACAATTTGAGCACGGATACCACTAGGACATGAGACAGGAGGAAGCATGTTGTACTTGGTTGATACTCCGTTGAAATCCAAGCACAAGAAGGTGATGGCTTGTTGAGCATAGCTGCTCTGGTTGTAAGATCGCAATGACATGTCACCTATGATCCACTCGCGATAAGCAAACGTGTATTGAGTCTATCGAACAGCGAAGATACTGCACCAGTGATCATGCGGAACTAGAGCGGAAAAGTTAAGTCCAGCACTTTCTCATATAACAAATGAACTGACGTTATCAGGGAAGGCCTGAACCGTGTTAGCTTGGCCGTCTGCCGCGTCGTTAAAGAGATAGTCTGTTGATGGGCGATTGATGAGAGATGAAGAATGTTATAGAAACAAGGCAGCGTACATCTGTGCGAGAGAAATCAGCAACTTAGTTGAGACACCAGGCAATAGGCACATACATGACATTGCCCACGTCCAAAGCTGAGAACGTTCCGTTCTTGTGTCTAGTTTGCATGAGATCGAGTACCGAGTAGAAGAAGGGTATAGAAAAGGACGTACTGGAAATAAAGATGCTGCACATTGTACATTCGTAAGAATACCTGGCCGCTCGATGTCCGGATATATACTTACCGGGTACCAATAGTTCGATTTGTCCTCTTCGATTGGCATTGAGGTGCATTGGCTGTCTCTCAGCGAATCTGTGGTAATGTTCATACCAAAGTTGGAGCCACCAACGACTATGCGAAGATGAGAGGGAAATTTTTGTGATACAATAGAATTTATCTATACCGGAGTGGGTGTGGCTAGAAACAGCGCCAGGGCTGATGATGGGGTCCAATCGTTCAGAGACGAGGATATTTCCTTGGGAGAATGTGTGAGCTCAATATTCTTGCCAATTGCACGTTTTTTCAAACACATACGGACGCCAACGAGAAAATAAGCTTGTACGCTTGATAACGCCGCAAGGGTGAAGAGAGAGTGGCGAAGCTGACGAGCCATGGGGATCTCAAAGAAAGAGAAATCAAAGAGATTTGGAGGAGGAGGGAAGGAAACGAGAGAGGGTTTAAAAAGAGTGGAAGGATGGAAGAAGGAAGACAAAGTTGTAAAAAGTGTAATGAATTCATTTTATCCTTCGTTCTCGGAGTTCTCCCACGTTCAAACAGTTGATGTCGAGTTCGTCGAACCTTGTTCCTGGTATCCATAATATAAGGCACGTACTTATTCAACAAATTAATATTCACTCAGATTTTTTCTATGACTTTGTCCTCATCGACCTCTTTCTTCTTCCGATATCAATTGAAGCTTGATTCCAAAGCTGCTTTTCATACAAAAGCTTCAAAAACCAACCATAGCATCGACATCAACAGACATCACCAACATCTACCTGTCCTCCAGGTGATAGCCCAATCCAAAGGAGCGACCGCTTCCCCGTTGGATCTAAGTTGCTAGTCAACGGAATATGGATGAATACTATTTAGTAACACAAGGCAAAACAGTGGCGACGTCTTTGGAGCATTATTCGCGCACGCTCATGCGTACCTCGAATGCCTGAATTCATATTACCAGAGAGGACCAGGCTCACAATCAAATTTTGAATGGATGAGCAGATATTCCCGATCCTTCATCCTCAGTAGGGAGAGGGGGCGAGGACCGCTGCGATGACTCCATATCTCCGTCCAACCCTCAGTTCTGGGCCGAGAAAGTACAGGAGGTAGAAGACAATTTGCCAGGCCACGGCGGAAGAAAAGCTGCGATAGAGAAAACGCGTGTATAGAAATAACCCAAGATTACCCGTCAACAGGACATAAACGAGGACATCATCCAAGAGACGTGCATCATTCATTTACAAGGCACGATCTCTAAGTACTGAATGACACTCGGAGTGTACTCCGTAGGTCTCTGTAAGGTAACCCTACAGCCCAAGCCTTCCTATGGCCGATATTACCTAAGCACGAAAGGGATATGGGGTGTTGTCAGAAACCTTCCAGAATCTCGAATAGCAACCATAGGCATTTGAATATCGCGATTTGCTGACCACAGAAGCACAGTATGCCCTCGGTTGTATGGAACGCCGGCTGTAAAGTGCATAGCGCCACTAGGATTTGGACTGAGGGGCGTATAATTGACAGTTGTGGAGTGTTGCGAAACTAGAAATTCCCTCCTAGGATAGCTTGAAATTCGAATGGATGATTGTACCAAGATTCCTCACAGAACCTTACTAAGGAGGCGTGAAGATGTTTGTGGAGTGCTGTCGCGCATACTGGATTGGGGTTCCTCCCGAGTTGAAGGGAGAAGAAGAACCGCGGCGTGCACGAGGCAGATCGCAAAGAGAGCCCTGCAATGATCCTCGTCACACAATCACCAATGTATATGCGCCACACTACTTACACCACCAGCGCAACCCGACGAGCAATCAACAATACTCCACGATGCAAGTTTACCAGAAACTATCCCATCACTGGCCATGGGTGAGATATCCGGAGCCGAAGTGAGGCCCAGAATTCTCTGATTCCAGTGCCAAAGCGTCATCTAGCGTACTTGAGATCCAATATAGACTTCAAAAGCCCTGCGTTTAACACGTCAGCAGATGAGCAGTAGTATGGTACTTCAAGTTCAGTTGACCTTACCTGGTAGGAGTTGATTTTGCGACTAGAATGCCCTGCCAGTTCTATGATTGCGTGACTGACAGACCGCGTATCGGAAGACTTTATCCAGAGATAGGGATGATCTTTTACGATAGGGTTTGATTATTCAGAGTTTACTCCGTCCTATGATGATCTATTGACACTCGAGCCTCGGATTCGATCCTGTGTCCTAGGATGCGAGAGAAAGAAATAGAAGATTATAAGAGCGAGATCATGGCGGTGGAGGAAAGTGAAGTACACGTCAAAACCGTCAGATACTTTTATTAAAAAGCTGCGTACGAATTGCAGCAGCGGTGTTATCGGATTGGATGTTGCTGAATGGATGTTTGCTATTAATTATCATCGCCAGGTCAAGGCATTCACTCCACGAGGTGAAAGGATATCGTTCAGATCAGGAGTTGAAATGATACAACAACCGATACACCGTTTTGCCACTGCATCCGAGTTGTGAATGCATGGGCGAGCAAGTTGTGTCTATTATTGAACGCGAGCTTGATATTTTGAACCTCTTGATATACAACACCATCTTCGGTTTGTAATTTCCTTTCAACTATGCTCCACCCATTGATCGAACGAGCGAATTCCTGTTTCAAAGAGTGTGTATCTTGTAGAGTTGTATTCGAGGACATCATACCAGTCATATCCTTCTCCAGAAGGTTCTTCGCAGCGAGCAACCGGTCACCATTCTCCCTTATAGAGTTGACTTTGATTCCTTCAGGTTTGAGTTCGTTGGCCCATCATGACTGCAGACTTGGGCATGTTATAGGCATCATATCTGTACTGATAATGCAAAGGGAGAGAGAAGGAGGTCTCGTAGAACGAAAATGATAATATCGATTTAGTGTGGCTCATTTCTTGTAGCTTGTCCCTATAACTTTCCGAAGATATTGGATCGAATGTAGCCAAAATGTGATATTCTCTCTGGAATGGGTTATGATAAACCTGAAAGTAATCAAGAAACCAACAGTGGACAGGAACTGAGCTTCATGAACAATGCTAGAGAGCGAAAATTCCTTTCGTGTAAAAGTTCAAGGCTCTTATCAAACTTCGAACTACAACTTTCAATGCACATGAATGTACAATGATGACCATCCATTGGGTTCACGACTATCTTTGCCTCTGAAATGGTCAAAGAAGAACACTGGACCTAGTACACACCATAAAATCCTTGTATCCGTTCCATATTAGTGACCATGCTTCACTCCTCCCAGTACAATACTTTTCACCAAAAAGACGGTTACAGAAAAAAATGCTTCTATTTGAATGTGCAGGGACCTCTCCAGTTCGTTACTGATTTCCGTTAAGAAAAGTAGAGAGAGAGATAGATAGATAATAAACGCCTCACTGCTAGTCGCGACGAACACGCACTCAAGAAAGTCCATGCTTTGCGACTACGCCTCTATCGAACGGGAACGGGAACCAAGCATTGTCCGAATCAGCTGATACCAGGGAAACATCAAGGTCAGTAAGTATCAGATCGCTTTGAGTCCAATCGAGGTAGCCACAGTTAACCATCCCCTCGTCACTGGACACCCCGGATTTGGGAAATTTTCTCAATATTTCTCCTGATAATCCTACATCAGGGACCTTCCTCACCAAATACTTCTTACTCCACGGTGCCCAAGTCGTTCATGCAGGTACGATTCTCTACTTTGTCTGTAAACCTTGATCTCCATCTGATTCAACTTCTACTTTGGATTTCTAAGCCAAGAATATCCTGTAAATGAAAGACCCAACAATCCTCGGAAAAGTTGAGCAAGTTGCGTCTTGGGCGGTGGATATTTGATATAATGAGACTTGGCTCCACGGTTCGTCCCAAAATTCAGTCCCCTTGTATTACTCGTCCATTCCTTCTCACTGGTTGGTACAGATATTGAACTCTGCTCTCGGAAAGGCGCATAGGATGAAGATGAAGGCAATGCCGACAAGTTTGAGCCCGCTTGAAAGGTCGCTTTACTTGGACCACCACCACTACTGCTTGTAATTGACTCGGGATCTCGCCCATCTGAATTCCTTGATAAATATAGGTTGGTGAAAGGAGAGGTTTCAAATCCGATTCAGTACTCGCCGCTTCCCCTTGTATTAGAAAGGCTTTCACATGGATGCCAAAAAGAACGAGCCTCTATCCCCTGCAACCTTCGGAGAGCTTGAGGACAGTACATCAACGTCGCGGCTACAATATAATATAATTAAACATACCCTGGGGAAGGATTGCTGGAATGGCCGAGTCGTTAAGGCGATAGATTTGAATCCCTGAGATAAAAGGTGCTTTCCCTATCTATTACTCTATGAGTGCGTAGGTTCAAATCCTGCTTCCAGCGTTTTTTTTCTCTTTTTCAAAATCCTTTTCCTGATCTTATTCGAATTACCACTGCCTTTTGCATAAATCCGTGAAGATTAGGTTTTATGTCGTGCCTGAAGTAATATGGACTTTAATATAAAAGGCCTAGAAGGTCACCATGAGGGTGTAGAGAAATGTTGGCAAATTTGCTAAATGCCAGCTCGTTGAGAAAGAAGTACCGGCATTCTATGAGATCATGCAAGACTGAGGTTGAAAGCCAATGAAAGGATAGTATGAGCACTACATGCAGGTAAGATCTGAGGTCCAGCCTGAACAACGGATCCTATGAGGTTGATCATGAGTACTACGCACCACACTCAATATTTTTATATTTTCTCACCCGTACCTAGACTATATACAACTCCGAGTCCATCTTATGATCAATACACTCAAATTGAGAGTACATTTTCTTGATATTCATTTTCTCATGTTCTTCTAGGTAGCTTATTCTGCTGTATGCACAGTGGAATTTCCTTGGAACTATTGAAGAGCCAAGCTAACGTTTGTTCTAAGTTGTCATTTTGCAGTAATATTTCGCGAGTCGCTGATACTCGTTCACGTGACAATCAGGTGCCCAAGTAGCCGCGGCCCGGAAGGCTCTCCACAACTTTCTCTTCTCTTCTTCGACGACGATGAACTATTTCAGCAAACTCAGCTCGTCTCATGATAATTATCATCCATATTCTAACCCTTCTTGACCTTCTGACCTGACCTCAAGAATGTCCTTCAAAAAGCAACTCAATAATCTTCTCTCTTTCTCTCCCCTGTGACAGAATGTTCCTCAGAGTCTTCAATTTCCCTCTTGCGATCGCAGCCAGTCTTGCGTTATCACAGCGTTTATCTTGTGTGCTATCTGCGTCTATTCAAGCTGGCGATGTTGTTGACACAGGATACGCTCAATACCGAGGCAATCGGTCCTTCGAAAACACAGTCGCTTACCTTGGTATTCCCTATGCAGAACCCCCTCTAGGTGATCGACGGTTTCGAGCGCCCTTACCTTTGAATAAGACTCGTATCGCTCAAGAAGCCGGTAGTCAAATAGTGGATGCAATGCAATATCCGGACTTTTGTATACAGGGAAGTACAGGAGGTATGTATTCACTGTAGAATTCCATCACCTGTTTGTCAGGATCAGAAGCTGATATTTACCACTAAGACAATGACGCTGGAGGTGCTGGGTCTGAAGACTGCCTGAAATTAAATGTCTATGCGCCCTTTAGTGCCAAAAGTGGAGACAATCGTACGTGGAATGCTTCGGATTGTCCGAGTTTAGTTGATAGTGATATCGATGTAGTTCCTGTTCTTGTGTATTTCCACGGAGGAGGTGCATCTATAACATAGTGGCTTCTTCACAGCCTTGTCTGAAATGAATCCACTCTAGGTTTCGTCTATGGAAACCCCGCAAACTGGCCATTCGACAGTTGGATCCACCAAAGCCCTAACATCGTCATCGCCTCCGTGTACTATAGACTTGACTCGTTTGGCTTCCTTAACATCCCCGAGTTCTCTGATACGGACAGTGGCGACTTTAACGCGGGGTTTCTCGACCAAACTGAGTCCTTGAGATGGATAAGGGCTCACATCTCCGCTTTTGGAGGAAACGCGGAAAAAGTTACAATCAATGGACAGAGCGCTGGCGCTGCATCAGTCGAGCTTCATCTTGTTGCCAATCAAGACAGGCTTTTCTCGGGTGCAATTGCTCAGAGTGTGGGTCGAAGTCCTGTTGAGACGCCAGAAAATCAAGTGGTAAGTTTGTGATCTTCATACTGGTTGGCAAAGGATTGAACACGCAGCCCGTGTTTAACTTTTATGCCGAAACTGCGGGGTGTAGTCAAGGCTCAGTCACGGAGAAGCTTGCGTGTCTCCGGAATGCCAGCATCGGTGCTTTGGCTAGAGCTCAGGACGCTCCTCGAATCCAACCATCTGCTTTGTGAGATTTCCATCAGTACTTCGCAAACTATATCCAATTATTGTTTTTTGCTGGTAGCACTGGTGCTTACCCTACCTTCAATCCTGTCGTCGACGGCAAAATTATAACCGACTATCCTTCTGTGTCTATCCAGAACGGGAATTTCGCCAAAGTCCCATTGATTGTAGGGTATGGCAGCTTATCTGATGTCATATCCAACACTCATTCAAACGTTTGTTCAGCGCTACGTCCAATGAAACGGGTACTCTGGAACAAACTCTGCCTGAAACCATGAAAACCGCGTTTCCTGGCTTAACAGTAGAGAGTGCGGACGAATTTCTTGAGGTCTGCTTGCAAGAAGTTCCAGCCGTCATCAATTCATTTCCTTATAGTATTACTTTGGTCGTCCTAGATATACCCTTTGAATGAATTTTCATCCCAACTTCAGAGGAACCAGACAGCGATAGGAGAATCCATGCTAAGATGCGCAGTAAGTCTATCTCAGAATCTCTATTCATGAGAAGTAATACTAATCATGGTTTTCCAAAAGCGCGAAATCATGGGCGGAGCATTCGCTAACACACCCAAGTCATGGACCTATCGATACAACCAACCAAACCCAACACAGGGGATGCCCGGATTCACTGCTCATGCAGCGGAAAACTGGATGATGTTCAACGGGATCAACACAGGATTTAACGGATCTGGGACATTTACGCCCATGACTCCCGTTGAGACTGCCTTTGCAGAGGAACTGATTGCATATTGGCTCTCCTTCGTGCGTTCCGGTAACCCCAACACCTTCAAGCTGGATAGGGCACCTACTTGGACAGAATATCTCATCGCGGGGTCGACGAACGAGTTGAAACAACGCATCGTGCTACAGCAAGACCCGGACAACTTGATCAATGTCAGTGGTAGTTTTATCGAGATGGAACCCAAGGAGGAGAGTGCGAGGTGTAAGTTCGTGGCGAGCAAGGCGGAGGAAGAGCAGAACTGAAAACGAATATAATTATATACGACGTGAACAACACTTGGATAACAGTCTGTAATTTTGATGACAATTGACCCTTGTTTCTTTCCCCTTATAATGCGCAGGTACAGCTATTATCACGCTTATATTCTCTAGGTGCTTGAGTACATCGCGTATCTAATCCTTATTATCGCGATTAACTGGAAGTTGAAGCACTTCGTTGAAGATGTCGTTGAATTGATCTGTGGGGATATCCGGGAGAGGCGTCGGTTGGATATCCACCAAAATTTCTCCTTTGAAATATCTTTCGGCTTTAGATCTGACCGTGTCGGGGTCCAGAGGGGTCGTTGTGATGCTGAACAGCTATGAAGCCATGCCTGGTGCCGATGTAAAGAGTCCACTTTTCCCTAGCGTCTACACCGGTATAATAAAGAGGAATCTCGCTAACAATTTTACCATCATGCACGAGCTCACGCTTCAGTGGGATTACTACAATTCATGATTATCAATCTCAAGTATCAAACAGAAGATGACGGACACACACCCCCCTTTCCAACACGACACCTTGCCGTACAACTCGGTCCAACTTTGAGGTATTCCTGATATTATGATGCTTTTCGAGTGGCTTTCGAAAGATGACATTGAAACAATCAACATGCCAAATTTGGGTCGGGAGGGTTAGAAAGCTTTCAGCGAAATTGTTCAAACTCTATATCTTCATCAATGTCAGAGCATGCATCATTTCCTTTTCTTTGGGATGACTGGCTTTAGCTTCTCTTTCTAATTTGAAATAGTTGAGACGATCCGGAACAGCTACAAACCCGCGATAGCGAAATTACACAGGATCCATTCGCGCACAGGCAAAGGCTCGAACGTTGTCCCGAATTGATACCGTACTGCAATTCATACGTGAATGAGCGCTATCGAAGAAATTATCATTAATTGACATGTATATCCTCACGCACAAGATACTTTCATACTCACTTTCATTGGCCAGACTTGTCTTGTGAAGAGGACAGAAGGGAGAGCCTGTCCCACTGAGAAAGGGCGAAAACAGGAGAAAAAAACGAGAATATGTATAAAAGCGAAAATGCAAGCATGATTGATATGGGACCAGAAAGGATGCGTGGTGGTGGTGATTGTGAACGTCAGATAGGAGAGCCTTGATCTAAATATCAGGTCAACGTTAGTGCATAGCAGCCAAATAACAACGAGAACATACTAGCAAACGGAGCGTAGCCAGGAGATCCAATGTGAGCAGATCAAATCTCTAGGAAGAGATAGTTTCGACGGGTGGGAGATAGGATATAGACAGCTGCTAGGTTTCACGTCAACTCTAAATTCAACATGCCAGACGTAAAATGAAAAAAAAACACACTGAGGAGAGTAGTAAATTTTGGCTAGCAAAGCTACTTCTGCCTCGGCGTATACTTGGGTATATGTTTTTATATGTCAAAGGATTCCGAAAAACGTTCGGTAGGCGAAAGTAGAATAATAAAAAATGAGGGAGAGCCAGAGTGGGAATCGTTGTTATATAGACCGGGTAAATCAGCGCTTCTGTCTCAATGTCGACCATGTACAGCGCCCATGCCCAATATTCCTCATTGTATTTTGATGGCGAAGATAATCCTATGTAGTCTCCTGACTTCCAAAGGTAGAATCTTTACCTCCGAACATTTTCCAGTCGATGTAATGAAGGGTGATTAACTCCTGGCTGACTACCGAGTGCTGATCTAACTCAGAGCAGATAAGAACAGTCTGGTTCATCGGGGTTACCTGTAGATTAGGACAAAGAGGAATATCACCTTGTAAACTTGTAAATAAACGGAACGTGTGACACTAGAGCGTAATAATGATATCAACATTCATTCATTGCGAACACGAAGGGTATGTATTAGTACAAACTCTGTTGAGTGCAAATTGATACACGAAAATCGTCACCGTGCCCTGAGACCGTCTAAAAGGCATCCTGTCATTAACCCTGCATCCCTATCCCTACAACACCAACCGAATCTAGAACCGAATTGCAGCGGAAAATGTGAACGATCCGCCAGGAGCACCGGTAGTAGGTATAGCAGGAGCAGTAGGATTTGAAACA